GAATATTTCATTGATTAAGATCGGGAGTCAGCGTGCGTTGTTTAAGTGTTCCCTTTATTTTTTTGAGCAGTGTATATATATATATATATATTGTTTAACAAATATGTCATCTTAGCAAGATTTCATCCTAAGGAAATGCTAGGTCAATGGAAAACACAAAGATAAACACAAGTGATATCTAAGAATGACTGTTRTTAGCAAATCTTGTTCTGACTTTAATTATTCTATCAGCAGATAAACAGCATGTCATGAAAACGTAGGTCATTAAATGATGTCATGAATTACTATCTTAAACCTAAAAGTATTAGTTCCACCATAATCTCAAAGGATAGATGATGGCCGGGAAAACATGGGGTAAATTGCACGCTTTATGGAAAGAGAAGCCATGACCTTTTCCTTTTCAAACGTCTCAAATCACAGACTTCCTCTGTCGTTTTAAACCATCATCTTCTGGATGCATTTCAAGAACTTATAATTGAGGGATGTTCAGCTTTTCTGGTGTATTTTTTCTTTCTTTCTGCAGCTTCCCAACGGACTTCCTTCCACCAGCCTGAACCTGGAGACGGAAGTGGAGAAACGATTTTTACGTGATCCTGCCTGGCTTCCTGTTCATGACACAGACTTCGCCTTTCAGAAGTTTCTCAAGTACGTAACGCTGTTTGTCGTGTCGCAAAACCAAATGAATGAAAGTAAAATTCAAATGATCGTCTTCACCAGAGTGACGCAGAGGAAAATTAAYGTGGACGCTCTGCTCTCCTGCTCCTCGTCTGCTCTTCACTCCGGGCTCTCTGTGGTCAGAGATCCGACCACAGGGATGCTGCTGGAYTTCACGGAGGTAACAGCTTCCCTTCTTTTATGCTTTTTAGTCAATTATTAATTCTGTTGCCTTGATTTGTTCAGTCTTTCCACCAAACACGCAGAATCTCTTCAATGCTGTGTTTAAAACCTCTTCCTTTCAACACTGAAAGGTTTTACTGGAAAACACCGACCTGTCAGCGAAAAACTCGCTGTCGCTGCAGCGTCGGCCCGGACCTCCTGCAGAAAGTCTCAGAGGAAGCAACACAAACTACCCCTTCCTCCCCGGTGACGTGCATCATTTTAAAACAACCTCTAATTTGTTGTTTAGAACAGGTCGGGTGTTTGTGTTGTCCTTGACTGATTTGTGTTTGATTTTTTCCAGGCGGGATGGAGGAACTGACTCTGGACCAGATTAAAAAGAAGTCAGAGCTGGAAGAGGAAATAGACTTTGAGAATGGTGATTTCTAAATTTGAGTTTTAGATGAGAACGCCACCAAACGTTGTTAACGTTGCTATTTTTTGCCTCACAGATTTACTCCAAGTTCCTCCTGGACTCAAAGCTGGGATGGATTTTACAAACAAAGGTTGGATTTTGTGTTAATTAAAAAAGGGCAGTTTTGTAATTTAAAATGTAACTATTCACTTTTTTCTCTTCGTAATTTGTTTTGTAAAGATAATATAAATAAAACAGCAAAGGCAGAGGTGAACCTGATGTCTCTACTGTCCACGCTGGAGATTTCTGATCTGCAGCTTGATGCAGAGGAGAAGGAGGAAGGAGGCAAACAAACTGAGGAAGCCGTCAAACTTCCCAGGACTAACAGTCTGGAAGATTTAGACATCAAGGTGCTTATTACAGATCCTTCACTTTAATGCATTTCTGGGATTTTTTGCTAATTAAACTGAATCCAAGTTAACTTTATCGATTCTGTCCTCAGGATGCTGTGTCCGCCTCGTCCCCAGCAAAAACAGGAAAAGAGGAAAAGCCAAAGGCGAGAGAAAACCCAGAGGATAAAAAGAAATGGGCCATTCCCGTGGACATAACCTCCCCCTGCGAAGATTTCTACAAACGCATCCCTAACCCAGCATTCAAGGTCAGCCTGAAAATCCCCGTTTAATGTTTGTTTAAACACCCAAACGGATCGGTTCCCCTCACCCGACCCGCTCCTCTGCCTCAGTGGCCCTTTGAGCTGGACACCTTCCAGAAGCAGGCGGTGCTGAGGCTGGAGGCCCACGAGTCCGTGTTCGTCGCCGCGCACACCTCGGCTGGCAAAACGGTGGTGGCCGAGTACGCCATCGCGCTCTCCCAGAAGCACATGACGAGGTGCGTGTTTGTCAGGATGAGCTAATTATCACCCGCCGCAGGCCGGGGCTCCACACTGAGAAAAAACAAATCACCGGATGAGATCATTTAGTTATTAATATTAACAGGAAATTGAACTGAAAAGAAGATATAAACTGTTTTTAAGTTATTTAAGCAAAAGTTATATTTAACCTTTAAATACTGAAGAGGATTAGGGTTACTGTGATTAAAAAAAGTGTTTTTTATTGTTTCTCTTCCAGAATTTCCATATTCTGAAAAAAAAAAAAGGTTTTGCACTGTAATCCTAATCCTCTTTCATAATAAAAGATTATTTTTTATGGAGAAAAAAGAAACACTTTTACATAAAGTTTCCTTTTTTATTTAGAATGATTTTAAAGTTTGTTACTGATCAGATTTTTACATGTGTAAATATAAATTAGCCACTTGGTGGCGCCAAAATAAAATATATAGTTATTTTTTTATTTTTTAAATTAAATATTGTCATGAGTGATTTTTTGATGTAAAGACTTTCCATAAATACTTTCTGTAGAGTTGAATCCCCCTTTTTTTTGTTTGTTTTTGCTGTTTGTTTGAACCCGTAGGACCATCTACACGTCTCCCATCAAGGCTCTGTCCAATCAGAAGTTCAGGGACTTTAAAACCACCTTCGGGGACGTTGGACTCCTGACGGGCGACGTCCAGCTCAGTCCCGAGTCGTCTTGTCTCATCATGACCACAGAGATCCTCCGGTACGTTGTCCCCTCGTCACGTTTTAATCAGCGTGAGGATTTAAAATGAATTAAAGCTCTGTCTGCGTTCAGCTCGATGCTCTACAACGGCTCGGAGGTCATCAGGGACTTGGAGTGGGTGATCTTCGATGAGGTCCACTACATCAACGACGCAGACGTCAGACATCCTTCCTGCAGGTTTTGATTTGATCAGTTTCATGGATGACATGAGGGGTAATTATTTATTGTTTTCCTCAGAGGGGGGTTGTTTGGGAGGAGGTGTTGATCATGCTTCCCGATCACGTCAGCATCATCCTCCTCAGCGCCACCGTCCCGAACGCGCTGGAGTTCAGCGAGTGGATCGGGTAAGACGACGTCACCGGAAGCACGGAGCGTTAAAGATGTGGTTTGTGTTTGACGTCGGCTCTCCGTCCTCGCAGCCGAATCAAAAAGAGGCACATTTATGTGATCAGCACCATGAAGAGGCCCGTCCCTCTGGAGCATCACCTGTACACAGGAAACAGCACCAAGACCCAGAAGGAGATGTTCCTGCTGGTGGACGCCGCAGGAAACTTCCTCACTAAAGGGTGGGGCTTCGACACGCCGCGCCGCTCCACGCCTCTTTGACTGATTCGTTTCCTGTTAAAGAAACGGCTCTTCTCTGGTTCAGGTACTACGCTGCTGTCGACGCAAAGAAGGAGCGCACCAGCAAGCACGCCCAATCGTTCGGCGCTAAAATCACCTCTCAGAACACCTCAGCCAGTCAGGTAATTGCCTCGCGTCGCCTCGCCGACCTTTATTATTTTGTTGCTGGTGTTTCACCTTCCTGTCTTCCTCCAGGACCGGGCGGTGTGGCTCGCCCTTCTGCACTTCCTGTCTCAACGGCAGCAGACCCCGGTGGTGGCGTTCACGTTCTCCCGGGCCCGGTGCGACGAGAACGCCCGCTCGCTGGACTCCATGGACCTCACCACCTCTGTGGAGAAGGCGGAGGTCCACTCCTTCTTCCAGAAAAGCCTCAGCCGCCTCCGAGGAGGAGACCGGCAGCTGCCGCAGGTAAAAAGTTACATTAAAGTGCCGGTGAACAAATGAAGGCATTTTTAGAAAGAGGACAGTGATAAAATATCGCAAAAGAAATTTCATGTYGCTGAGATGAACAGTTGTTGAGATATTTGCTTGTGAAGTAACAGGAAGTGATGTCATAGGGGAATGTCTGAATGTAAACAGAGCGTTGCTACAACAGCCAACAACCCAGACTGTAGAGAAGACTCTGATGTTTCTATAGATTATTTTGAGTCACTATGAGATGAAGAAGAGTCAGAGTTCAAATAATATTATTACAATAAACAAAGACCAGAGAGTTTTCTTTGTTAAAGTGTTCCCCTTTGATGTCACTTCCTGTTTCATTTTGTCTGAGCCAAGTTCAAAAGAAAATATGCCAGTTATGGGACAAAATGGCTTCAATTGTTTGTATTATTTCAACTTTCTTAAATATAAAGATGTTTTCTTAGACTTTCTGTTTTTGAAGAACATGCATGTCACAAACACTTTAAATACGAGCTGTGAGAACGATACGTTAAAGATGTATTAATCAGAATATCCTGACACGCTGCTTTAGATTTTACTCATGCGGGACCTTTTGAAGCGAGGCATCGCCGTCCATCACAGCGGGATCCTGCCCATCCTGAAGGAGGTCATCGAGATGCTTTTCTCTCGAGGTCTCGTTAAGGTGAGTCGGAGCAGAAGAGCTATAACAACACATGTTTGAGTGTTTAAAGTACCCCGTCCTCTCCCAGGTGCTGTTTGCCACAGAAACGTTCGCGATGGGGGTCAACATGCCCGCCAGGACCGTRGTGTTCGACAACATCAGGAAACACGACGGGACCGGATTCAGAAACCTGCTGCCAGGTCTCCCCGTTTTCCTTTTCTGTCTAAAACATTTCACTTTAGTTTGAATTRGATTTAAGAAACATAAAGCAGAGTTTTAACGTTTTTATTTGTGTTTTCAGGGGAGTACATCCAGATGGCGGGCAGAGCGGGCCGCAGAGGCCTGGACGCCACTGGCACCGTCATCATTTTGTGTAAATCGGGCGTTCATGAGATGGCAGATCTTCACGTCATGATGACGGTGAGACTAACTAAAGACTAGTATCAGTGTTTGGTTAGGAGCTAAAAGTCTCAAAACACTAGCTAAATGCTAAATTRAGAGGAACATTAAAAGCTAAAAGRARCACAATGCTAACTAAAATTTAAAAGTAGCAAATGGATGGCAAAAGGATAACTAAAAGTAGCAAAACCCAACCTAAATGCTAAGTAGAGCAAAACATTTACAGCTAGAGAGCTAAATGCTAAGCAAAAATTAAAACTGGAAAAATCTGGCAAGAAGCTAAAAGTGGTGAAAGGCTAGCTAAAGGTAGCAGAAGATTAACTAGAGAATAGATGTTTGGCTAAAAGTAGCTAAACACTAAGGTAAAACATTCAAAGCTACAATGAGCAAAATGCTATCTAAACAACACAAGAAAAACGTAATATCTAAAAGTAGTGTGATGTTAGCTTTAAGCTAACAGTAGCAAAATGTTATCTAAAAGTAGCTAAA